TATCGAGGGCTAGCAGACCATTAAGTACCCTATAAGATATTTTGAAGTTGTCAAGCTTAACGAGAAAGCTTGTTTAAAAGCTTTTATCAGCGATAAGCATTAGCTATAGTTCATGGATTTTGATTACAGTATACAAACTCAAAGTTGTAATCTTAAGCTCTCCATATAAATCTTTCTATATAACATATCCAATCATATATGGAAAGCTTATATTATCTATCACATTAAATCATGCAACTAGAAGCTTTCATAAGCTCGGAATATGACATGAAAAGAGCTTTCCCTATATTCTAATTTGATATGGAAGGTGCTCATCACTTATCAACTTATTTATAAAGAAGAAAAAAATAAAGAAAAAACAAATATAATAAAAGAGAATATATCAAAAGAGTTTGTATTAAATATATATAGAAAATCAATAAATATAAAAAAATATAGATAATATGATTCTTATGAATATCTGGAAAAGTAAAAGCGCTTTCAATATACAATATCAAATTATATGTGGAAAATTCAGGTCGTCTATGAATTTTAATTATTTTTGGGAGACTTTTCTAATGCTTTATAAAGAGCGCTCTCTAGGCCTTATATATCAGATAAATTAATATTAAATATAATATTATATATATTTTTTTTATATTAAAATTATATTAATATAATATTTATATTAATATAATATAAAATCTAATAATATATTAATATATTTTATATTAAGCTCTAAAGTGTCGATGGGTAACTCCTGCGCACTGCGATATATGGAAACTTATAAATTGGCAGCTTGAACTTTTCTACCTAAACTAAGCGGTCAATCAGTCATATGTATCTGAGCCATATTATATACTAGTCTATTAGTTATCTAGTCTACTTAAAATATCAGACTACCCTTAGTGAGAGCATTTAAAGAAATCGTTCAATAAGCTTTTCTCACTTGCATTGGCAAGAAGTTTCTTCTTCTTTTTTTTTTTTTTTTGGGGGGGGGGGCATCTTTTTCGACTCGTCGATGCAGTCATCCATATTTGCCATTCCGTTTTGGGCATTTGTCGAGCTACACAATTTGCTGCTCAATTGTCTTGGTAACAACTACCTCGCAGCCTGCTGCTCTGGCAGCTCTGTTCGCTCTTCAGTCTAGCTCGTTGTGTGCCATAATTCAATTGATTCCTGGCAACATTATGTATATACAAAATGCTCATCATGTTTATCGCTGGCAATAACCATCTATTCCAAGAGTCATCCACCTGCAGCACAAGCCCACACACACACACACACACACACACATGTGTGTATATACTTTTATATATATTTTGCTGTAAGCCTTTTTCAATGGCTTGCACTTGAGCCTTGGGACAAATGAGCTCTACATTATTACGTTTTATGTCAAGTGCTTGCCATCGTTGACGTCATCGCAGCTCAACGCTCACATTTTGCTTCCAGCTCCCAGCTCCAAGCTTCTTATGCCACTGCACCTTCGCCTAATCCCAAAATTCCACTCGTTGTCGTTGCGCCATATGCTCAACTTGTTTTTGTTTCAATTCCAATTCCAATACCAACTTCAATTCCAATTCCAATTTAATTGGCTTAATTTTTGTACTTTGTAAGTTTCTATCTTAATTTGTTTACAAGCAGCAAACACATAATTGATTTCATATTGAAATGTTCTGCTGGTGTCTTGAATATTGATGAAAACATATTTTGCCAAAAATATATAAGAGCTGAAAACACTTTTGATTTTGCAATAATATCAGCTAAGGTGTGTGTCTGGGACTTGAGCAATGTTTTGCTGAAAAGCTGCTTTAAACTTAAGAAATAATTTGAGATGCAGTTTTAAAGCAGAAAAGCAAATCTTGCAGGAAGTGCTCATGATTGTGTAGTTATAGAGCCTTGTTGAGTGGGATTTGCTGCGTAGTGAAGAAGAAGAACATTTACTACTCGCCTTATGATAATCATCTTACGGAATTCGGCTTGATAAATATAATTATTTACGAGTGCTCATGTAGAAAGTGGAAGATTGTTTACAATCTGCAAACAAATTGCATGTACATAAATTCTTTCTACTGTACATAATTGCTTGAATATTATACTAAAATTGTCTTATTAATTAAATTAAAGTCTTTAGATATATAAAATGTTTTTCTACCCAATTATTATGTCAATTTTTATTTTGTATAAAAAATGAATTATTATAGATTTTTATATAGTTAAGAAGAATTTATATACCAAATTTTATAGTTACAGCTCTCATAGTCTTCGAAAAAAAACAAGTTTTTGGTATCGAATTTTAAAAATATTTAAAAGTAATTTGAAGAGATTTTTGACATAAGATTTCAGTTTAAGTTTAGTACTACTCAAACGTTGAAACAGCATTATAATTAAGTTAACTTATTTATATTCAAGCTATTCAGTTACTTTTTATATTCAAGTTAAGTACGAAAATTCTTTTTCAAAAATTCAAGAATCCTTTAGCTTTAGGTGTGTTCCAAGTAAGTTATTTCATTTAGCCAACATCAGTTGATTCAGGGTATAGCAAATGCTCTCTACGTTCATTTGCTGCTTCGTTTCTTGGGCTTTGGCCCATAAGTTTCGACCTTTGTAAACAGAATCTGTGTTTGCTTTGCCTAGCTTTCCAGTCAAATATCATTGAATAATGATTCAAATTGATTTCAATTAAAATTAATTATTTAGATATGGATATCAATAGGATATTTGGTATATATTAGAACTTGGCTTAATTGAGACACCAACTTCAGAGGCCGCAATTCAATTGAACAAAGGATTTTCTCAAGTTTCAACTTAATTTGCAATGGCTGCAAAAAGTGGGCGTGTCAATTTACATATTGTAGACTTTTTGCGTACGGTAAATAAAGCAAAAATAAATATAATTTCTCCTGATGACCTTTTTGCCAACATTTTAATTAATAAATGCCAACAACAGCAGCAGCAGAAGCAGCAGCAGCAACAAAAATGAAACTTTCAAAGAGTTTCGATTGGCAACTGCCCGAATACACAAATAACAAAAGTATTGCAATGGGTTAATCAGGACAGGACTGGACAGGACACCACAGGATGCCAGTTGACTGGACATTCGGTATCGGAATTCATAATTTGCATAAAGTCAATTGCAGTCGACGCCCACGCACGTGCCTTTACCATGCGCTCTAATAAATCAACAATCTGTGTGTGTGTGTGTGTGTGTGTGAGTGTGTCCTGCGACCTTTTTGAGTATCGACAGCTTTGTGTGTAGTCAAGAGGTTTTCTATGTTTATGTTTGACTATGCAAACAGCATAAATGAATGCGTCGAAGACTTCTAAAAATTATTATTTGCTTTATTTATTATTCATTGAGTAACATTGTCTATGTGTGTGTGTGGGTGTGTGTTTGAAGCCTTTCTTATAACTAAAAGCTGTTGAGGCTGCCCACTTTTGTGCGTGCTTTTTGCTCAGCTTTAAAGGTCTTAAGAACTCATTCAGTTAGAATGTAATGAAAGCAAAAGTTGATTTTCTTCTTCTTCGTGTCTTCATATTATTATTTTTTGTTGAGCATTTAATAACGAAAATAAATTGAATTTTAGTAAAAGTATTTTTGAGCTTAAGGCTAAGCCTTGCCTTTGCTTCTCTTTGTATATTTCTTTATTCAGCTCTATGATTTTTTAGCCACTTTGCTCTTGTTTTCACTCTAGTCCTTTGGCTTTGTTATTCTCATTCTTTTACACTTTGTTTTCATCTCTTCATATTTTTCATATCTCAATTTGCTTTCACCTTTCGTCACTTCTCTTTCCTACCTCTATCTGTCTCTTGTATTAAATTTTAGTACTTCTCACTTTCTCTTTCTTTTTCTTTGTGTCCCATTTCATATTAAGAATTATTGTCTCAATATTATCTTTTTAAGTTTCTGGCCCTCTCTATTTATTTTACACTTACCTTTCTTATAAGTTCTTGTACTATCTCTTTCTGTTTCTTTCTCTTTCATTTTTCATGTGTTTTCTCTTTCCCCTGCTACATATTAATCTCTCTTTCTCTTTCTCTCGTGCTCTGCTATCCACTTTTATTTGCCAGTGCTCAGTTTGCTTCCATCTCCCTCTGTCTCTGTCTCTATCTGTCTATCTAACTCTCTTTCTCACTTATTTTTACTTTCACTACATATTTGTGTCTCTTACTTTATTTTAATTTCAATTATTTTCTCTATCCTTCTCTCTCTTACTTTATATTAAGCTTTATTTTTTCTCTCCCCCTGTCCCTTTCATTCTCTTGGCTGCTTTCACTTCCTTAACTCCACTCACTCACTCACTCACTCACTCTCTCTCTCTCTATCACTCTGTCACTCTCTCTGTTTTTCCATACTCAACCTCATCATGCTTGCTACTTATGTAGGCATTTCTGAGAAATTTGTATACACTCAAGTCCTATTTACTTTGAACTTGCCTTGTGAAATATTTATAGTTATAATTGTCTTATTTTGTATTTATAAATGTCTCCTACTCATTGTTTTCTTTATTATTATAATTACGTCTTAATAAAGTTTACTGTAATTTAACACCAGCCTGGCGGGTTTATTTTTAGTTTTTTCTAGTGATTATTTATAATTTTTTGTCAAATCAAAGTGGAGTTTGATAGGGCGGAATGAGGCTTGTTTAATTAAGCGGGCCGCCACGGAAATAGCACTTTAAGTGGGCAGTTTCTTGGATGCGCTGGGGTGAGCGTAGAGTCCGTTAAAATAGCTGGCAATTGGGACGTGACTGGGCTACCCAAATAATCCCTGGACTGGGCACTGGCATGGCCTGGCCATCCGCTTTGCGTGTGATTTAAAAATAATTAAACACGTACGGCGAATAACTGTAATTTTCATTCATGCAACACGCGACGCGGGGTTGGGGCAGTCACAGAGCAGGGAGAGGGCCAGGTGGGGTGGAAATTTAAAATTAACATTTTTATTTATTTGAAAAATAACGCTTGACATCGGCTCATTGGGCATTGGGCAGTTGTTGCGTGCGCATTGAGCACTGAGCATGTCCTGGCGAATGTCCTGTCGCATGTCCTGGCTGTGGTGTTGGCTGCTGGCTGGACTGACGCTCGGCTACGCCGGCAGCGGCTCAAACATTCTGATGATTACCATGGGCGGCACGAAATCGCACAAAATACCCTTCTGGGCATTGGGACGAGCGCTTATCAAGCGGTGAGTCTCTCCTTACACGGCCATTGGGGCTATGATTGGAGCCCATTCCGATCCGTTCCGTTCCGTTTTGTTCGGTTGTGTTGAGTTGTGTAGCATAGTGTAGTATTGCTAATCCCTGCAGTGGCCATCGGATTACGTTTGTGAATGGCTTTCAAGCGGATTTCCATGTGGATGGACTGGTGGAGGTGACGCCGCAGCGACTCGTTCAATACATAAGCAACTACACGGACTGGGATTTGGTGGGCGCACGTTATACGGGCCACGCCCCACTCTCAATGGCCGATGCGATGCGTTATCCAATTGAGGTAACTGCCGTGGCGCCACATCAAAGTGGAGTTGCAGCAAAGATACACACACACATCCGTACACACGTGCACACATCTGTAGTAAAAGGATAAGGCGTTAAGCAGAGCATGATCGACTAGCAGACACTCTCACTGTAAAGCGACATCAGCCTATTTTCTTCTAGGCAAAAATATTCAAATTCAATTTTAACTTAGTTGAGAGAGTTTATACAAAAAAGGAATATAATCTTAAATACATATATCAAAGAAGTATGTGTACACCAAATTTTATCACTTGAGCTCTTATAGTCTTAGAGTTAAGTCAAAGCACAGAAAATCAAAAATTGTTTTTGATCGACTTTAAGAAAATGGAAAAATTGATAAATCAGATCAACTTTCTCGTTCCACAAACAGACAGATAGAAGAAAGAATATGGCTGAAGCAACTCTATTACCAAATAGATAAAGTTCATTTTAATTATTTCCCTTCGGTTCGACATGCTCAGCTTCTATCTATTACATACACTCTCACCCATTCACAATACCCACTTGAGCACCTGCATACAGGGTATGATAAGCTTGTGGCTGACGTTTATTACTCAATGGTCGACAGGCGTGCAACAGTTTGCTCACCGATCCTGCCACACAACGTCTGCTGGCTGGACACACCCAATACCAGTTGGCGATTGTGGATGGGGCATATCCGGAGTGCGCGCTGGGCATTGTGCATCGGTTAAATGTAACGGCATTCATCTATATCAATACGGTGGCCTTCTACACCGGAAGCGTCTCGTTGGCCGGCAATCCGGTTGCGTATGCTGTCACGCCTCACGTCTTTGGCTCTTGGACGCTGCCCATGGACTACTTGCAGCGTGTGGCAAATTGTTTAACTCATGTTATTGCCGATTTGCTGCACTGGGTGAGTATCCGTTGAGTCTGTTCATGTTTACAGACAGCCTACTGGCCTACACTCCTGCTCTCTCACTCTCTGCTATTCCCTCTTCATCTATCTCTCATGCCTTTGCTTGTCTTTTCAACTATGCCCCAGCGACATGCAACCGTCTAGCAAACGCATTAATCCTTGCCTTGATTTAAGACCAATTCTGTATGCTGCCTGCGTACACAGCTAGAAATTTAGTTCTTACTTAAATTTATTTGTTATATTTCATATAGTATGTCATATACAATATTCATATAATCTATTGATTTTTGAACTCATTTTTTTATACCCTGAACACTTTGAAAATGGGAAATTATTTAACAAGTATTTGTTACTCTTATTATTATTTAATATATTTATATATAATATATTTTTATATAATAAATTTATATATAATAAATTTATATATAATAAATTTATATATAATATATTTATATATAATATATTTTTACAAAATACATTTATATATTCTTGTTTTTAAAATGTTTTTTTTTTAGATATAATTATATATACATATTTTTGTAAATATTTAATATAGACATATTAAAATTAAGAGAAGAAATACTCTTCCTCTGACAAACACTAAGCACACAAGCAAATAACTTAACTATATCACAAACAGGAGGTAAATAAAATAAAATGATATTAAATATTATTAATCTTATATATATATAAATAAATATAATAATAGTAACTTTAATATTTAACAATTTTAAAGTATTTGTATAATTGAATAATAACTAAATTAGCATTCCGAAATATGATCATGAAAAATCTTATTGCTAATGATCATAATCGTTAATGATAATTCCAGTAATAATCATGAACATAAATGATCATTATTCCGAATGATCAATATCGTTAATGATCATTACGACTTCATTATTATTCACTATTATATTAATTATAATAAAATTTATAATCTAATTATTATTAACAAATACTAAATATTACATATTTTTGACATTTAAACAATTAAATAATTACTAAACAAATAGACAATTAACAAAAACAATAAAAACTTAAATATATATTTAAACATTATTAAACAAAAAACCTTTAATATAATTATTTAAATAAATACAATATTCGTTAAATAAATACAAAATATTTAAACTTAAACAATTTAACAAAAACTTAAATTTATTCACCATTTGCACTGCACTACACGACGACTGACCCAGTCCAGGTCATGAGCTTGACTGATCGTCCGCAGCCGCTGCTGCGCTCTTTTATACCCAAAAGTCACTCAAGCGGCAACGCCAGCTGAGCTCCTGAGCCCTTTTTTGAGTGAGAATTTGCACTTATTTTATTTATCTTAGAAGCAGAAAAAAGCCGAACAGAGAAAGCTAATTATATACACAACACTTGTCACTCTGATCGTGAGTAAATATGCTATGCATATATACTTCATATATATATTTTTTTTACTATTATTTTTATTGTTAATATTTTTGCTAAAATATCAATTTTATATTAATATATCAACAATGTCTTAACAATGTCTCTTTTGTATGCACATTATTGTGTATTAAAAAATTGCATTTATTTTTTTTTAACATTTTTTAATTAATTAATTTATTTTCAAGATTTTTTTGGTTTTAATTTAAAATGTAAATAATAAATGAAAAAATCATTGCATATATTGAAAAAATATATATTTTTATTTTATTATGTTCAAGTGAATTTTTTTATATTAATAGTTATTTCAAACCAATTTATATTATTTCTTAACTGTTTATATTTAAAGTTAATACACAAATATTTTTTCTTTCCCATTTTTACTTAGTTCTTAAAACAAATTTAATTGTTATGCAAATTGAATTTGTTTAAGTTTTTTCTCTCTGTGTAGTTAGCATGTCAAGTGGCAACGAGCGTTGCTCGTACTCACCTGACCATGATTGGCTCCTGATTTATCATGCATCAGCCTGATTAAATGATGCTTAGTGGCCAGTGCCTGTCCAGCTCCCTCTCCCTCTCCCTCGCTCTCTCTCTCTATCTCTCTCTATCTGAGTGTGTGGTTTGGGCTAAGCCATTTCCGCTTTTCAGCTCTGCATGCAGTGTGTGCATCGCCTGCTGCGCCATCATCTCGGCAAGGATGTGCCGCATCCCTATGTGTTGGGCCGTGAGGTTTCGTTCATTTTGCAGAATTCTCACCCGAGTGTGCGCTATCCGAGCGCCCATTTGCCCAATGTGGCGGAGGTGGCTTGCCTGCACTGCCGCCGTGCCGCTGTCAATCTTAGCCAGCTGGACGCTGAGCTGTCCGAGTTTATGGAGGCAGCGCCCGACGGCGTTATTTACCTCTCGATGGGCTCCTCGGTCCGTTCGGCCCGGCTGCCAGCGGGGCTGTGCGAACTGTTTGTCGCGGTCTTTGCGCGTCTGCCGCAGCAGCACGTGCTGTGGACGTGGGCGGGCAACGCCACTGAGCAGCTGCCCCAGCTGCCGGCCAATGTGCTTGTACGCCCCTGGCTGCCCCAGCAGGACATTCTGGGCCATCACCGACTCCGTCTATTCATTACACACGGCGGCCTGCTCAGCCAGCACGAGGCTGTCTTTCACGGTGTGCCGCTGCTTGTGCTACCAGTTTTCTGCGACCACGATGCCAATGCCGCTCAGGCCCAGCACGACGGCTATGCCAGGCAACTGCAGCTCGCACATCTGGACGAGGAGGCGCTCTATTGTGCCATCTACGATGTACTGCATAATGATGGCTATCGGCGAGCCGTCAGGTATTACAGCTGCCATTTTAATCCAAGCGCATTTCCTTGTTCAAACAGCCTCCTCTTACATTCTAGACAACGGCGCGCTTTGATCCACGACCAGCTGGCCACGCCCCTGCGGCAGGCCGTCTACTGGACGGAGTATGTGATACGGCACAAGGGCGCCAAGCATCTACAGCATCCAGGCAGGCATATGAGGTACTTGTTCGACAGGCCGTCTAGTCAATATACTTTCTTTGTTTGGAGAGCCTCAATTTCGGACCAAATTAACAATTGACCATTTAGAGTCCTGAATATGAAATATATAGACAGCAGCTGCAGATGCTTATTTTCTCTCAGTTATATTATTTATTCTAATCAAGTCTTTACTTAAAAAAAATTAATAGGATTTGTGGACTACTTCTGGAGTTCTGTAACATTAAGAGTGACAATCTTTGAAAATAGGAGAGGAGGATATATTTTTGATAGATACTTAATTCTAGTTATATTTTCTTTCTCTCTCTCTCTCTCTCTCTCTCTATTTCTACTCTGTCTGTCCCTTCTCTGTTTCTTTCTGTCTTTTCCGTCCTCTTTCTTTTTCTGTTTTCCTCTCAATATGTTTCTCTCTTTCCTTTCCTTACTCTCTCTTTTTTTCTCTTACTCTCTCTCTCTCTCTTTCTCTCTCGCTCTCTCCTTATGCTTCTCTATTGTTTTTTTTTCTTTCTGCTCCTTGCTCTCTCTCTCTTTTTCTTTCTGTCTTTCTATCTTTTCCTAAGTTTTCCTCTTTATCTTCGTTTCGTTCTCTCTCTCTCTTTTTATGTTTTACTCTATTTTTCTCTCACTCTCTCCTTTTTTCTCTCTTAAGTTTCCTCTGTCTCCTCTCTCTCTCTCTCATTCCTTTTTTTTCTGAAATTTGGTTGTGTTCAGAATGTGACCGAGTATTTAGCAGCTGGATATGCCCGCTTGCATCGTCCTTTTGGGTGTTCTAGAGGCAGTTTAATTAGCTTAAGATTCGGCTTATGATGTATTTAAATAGTAGAGATAGTAAGATATATTATTCAAGAGGGTTTATAACTCTTTTTTTAAATTATTTTTTTTCATGATTTATTGAACTGCTGCAAAAAATTGATCACAAATTCAGCTTCTACAGCTACCACTCGCTGGATGCGCTTTGTCTACTGCTCGTGTCGCTGTTGCTGCTGGGGCAAGCATTGCGAATGCTTCACAAGTATTTAGCTGGCAAAGTTGAAGCTGCGAAGAGCAACAATAAGAAAATACAGTTTAAAATTTAATGAGTTCGACAATTTGGGCAGCGCGTAATTCCATTTCGATGTCGATGTCCTGCCGGGAAAGTTGCAGCTGAACTTGGAGTTGCTGCTGAAGTTGGAGCTAGAGTTGTGTCTGCAATTGTTGCTGTCATCGTTGCATCGTTGTCATGTGCTTTTTATGACTTGTCAAAATTTTGCAGAATTGTCATTGTGCAATGAAATATAAATGTCAAGAGATTTTCGAAATTGTGTTTTGCTGTTTCCGCCAAAGCGAGCTGCCGTGGTGCTTTGAGTCTTATGCAGCGGAAGCGGAAACGATAATGTTCCACACAACTACAACAACATCGTTGTTGTCACAACCACACACTAGCAATCACACACACAGGCAGCTAGCGACAGGAGTTGCCAGTGAGTCGTTGACAGAGTCTTGCGGCCTGGCTACACCCCGTGGCGAGGCACCGCAAACTGAAAGCGCGGCGAATGCTTGCATGACTGGCATATCACATGCTTATACACTCAGCGAAAACAAGCTATGATTGTCTATTTCAATAGGTAAACAATCAGACGGAGTGAACATGAATAATTTGTGAATAACTTTGCTCAATAATGAAATGTGTCTAAAATGTTATGGCATTTGAATAAAGCAAAGTTGGAAGGAATGCAAATTGTAGCACAGAGCACCAACAACAGATTTTTATGTAAGAATATGTTATTGAGATATTCAACAACTACTGCAATATATTTCTTAAAAATGGTATCACTCTTGCTTGGTCACTCTTTATTTCTAACTTTCATTCAATTTAATTATTAAAAAAATATTAAAGTAAATAATAAAATAGTCAATTAGAGTTTATATAGCTTAATGTAAATGCTTTACATTAAAAAAATAATTGTAATATTTATAATTGCTTTTTTCTTTTGCTAAACGTCAAATTCTAAAATATAAGAATTAAGTATTAGGAATATAAAAATTAAATATAAAATCATAAAATTGGTTAATAATAAAAAATAATGAAATATATATGAAACAATTAAAATTATAATATTGTAATTATTTACCTTGAATAAACTATCAGAACTTAAAACTATTCTTGTCTAACTTACATTCAAGGAAATTATTTTTTTCAAGGCCTTTTCATTATACGAAATCTTGCTTAAATTGTTAGATATTACCTTAATAACTTAAGACTTCTATATAAAGTGCTTTTTAGCTCAGTTAATTTATTTATATTTACTTAAAAAATAGTCTACAAAATTTCAATTTTTGCAAAAAATATTTAAAAACAAATAATTTTCCTATAGCTCTGTTTAACATTTCTTATGCAGCTTTTCTCTGTGTGTATTGGGCGTGTGCAGGCGTAAAGCTTTGCCATTGTAGATTTTGTTGTTGTTGTTGGTCTTGAGTTTTGTCTTGGTGATTATTTTGAATCAATTGCAAGCGTAAAATATTTGCCGATCGATTTGATGTGGAAAGCTTTTTGCGTGTGGCTGGCAACAAAGGTAAAGCTCGCACAGCGCGAAAGCTTTCGAAACCGGTTAGCGGCTCAAAAGCTGGCGGCCCATGAGGTAAGCAGCACGATCGCCGCAGAGCTAGCGCACAGAAATGAGCGTGAAGACATTGTGAACGGTTCACAGCGGACGACAATAAACTAAAAGAGAGAGAAAGCAGGAGTACAGTCTGAGTGAAAGACAGAGAGAGAGAGAGAGAGAGAGTGAGAGAGATCGATCGCGCGAAAGCATGTGTGTGTGCGTGAAAGAGAGCAACAAGTTTGCAAGTGGAAATTTTAACAATAAAATGCTGTGAAACACAATAAACTCGCCTCAAACCCAAGGCAAAAGCAAAGCAAAAAAGCATAAAAATATCAAATAAAATAAATTAAATAAATAAATAATTAAAAAACAAAAAAAAAGGTAATTAAATATGCAGCAAGCCATGCTTAAAGAAATACAAAAAAACTGTTTCAACAAAATTTGAATAAAAAAAATCAACCGAAATCAAAACAGTGAAAGAAATAGAGACATATAGCGTTTAGCTGCGGCGTGCTAGAGCGAGACAGTGCAAGACTTTCGCAAAGATACAAAATAAAGAAAGAGAAAGAAAAACAAGAAAATAAATTGCAAAAACAATAGATTCAAATCAACAACTTGTTGTTTCTCACAGTTCTAATTGACACTACACAAATAACAGCAAAACAAAAGCAAAAAATATGGAGTATGAGAAAATGTTATACCTGACAAATGCCAGCGAGGTGAGTAGCTAAGAAACTGTTTATTCAAATAGTTATAGCGACTAATACAAAAGTATCTATGATGTAGTATATTAAGACTACAAACACAAAAGTATCTAATAGATAGTCTAGATAGGGAGCTTTAGCTAGAGATACAAAAGTATCTATCAGTTAGTCAATAGAGACCACAACTTACAATAATATAGCTTAAAAAAGCTCTAGCTACATATGCAAAGGTATCTTATAGTTGGTCTATATAGTGCGCAAAAGTATCTAATAATTATTCTATATAAAATTCGAGCTATAGATACGAAAGTATCTATCAGTTGGTCACATAGCGAGCTCTAACTATAAATAAATTATTTTTTAGTCCATGTAGAGCACACGAATCTACCAAATATTCTATACAGTGCTCTAGTCACAGTATCTCTCACTTATATAGAGCACTAGAGCTATAGCAACAGATACAAAAGTATCTTATTCTATAGGATTCTAGCAACAGATACAAAAGTATCTATTAAATGCTGGAGCGTGTGATCTGGCTAGTGGGCGAGCTGCGCAGCCGATAACCTATGCACTTGTGCTTATCAACACTGGAAATAAACAAGTGAGTGTGTGCCTGAGTGTATGTGTGTGCTTGTTTGTATGTTAAAATAATTTGCGCAATTGCCCCAAAGCATATAGGCTGATAATATTTTTGGCAGTTGTTGTTAGCGTTAGGCGCTTGCCTGTTGCCCCCTACACAGCTCAAAATGTGAGCCATCATCTGACTTTTAATTAGCAAAAGTAGCAGACATACACACACAAACACACACACATGTATGTATATACACACATTTTGTATACTAAGTTATGTAGCTGTGCTTGTGGCTCTGACAGCAGGCACAAATGAGTGTCACTAGGTGAGAGTCTGCACTGCCTTGCATTGTCTATCATATAGTTGTTGTTGTATTTGTTGCTGCTGCTACACTTGCCAGTTACATTTTCCATTTGTCTTATGGCATTTCGTTTTAATTACAACAACAGCAGCAGCGGCAGCAGCAGCAGCAGCAGCAGCAGCAGCAGCAGCAGCAGCTAGCAGCAGGCATCAAACGCTGGCAGCAACTTTCAAAAGATGCTTTCATTTTGCAAGAAGTGATTCTAAATGATTGTCAACTATGGCATGGCAGCAACAACAACAACAACAAGCAGCAACAGTAACAACAACAGCAACACCAACTAGCTGCAACAATGTCAAGCTGGCATTTCACTCGGAAAGTGCATTCCAATGCAGCAGCAGCATTTGACAGACATACGCACATCAAGAGACGCAGCAGTTAGTTTTGTTGGACCTACTTAAGCTCTATATAAGCTATATATACATATATATATATATATATATATATATATATGTATATGTATATAGAAAAAAAACTTGTATTTACCATTTTTGATTGATTTGATGGAAATGTGTCTGCTGCTTGGCCAACTTGTTGTTGTTGCTGGTCTCTGGCGCGTTTTACTGACACAGAAGCTGCGCATTTTCGTTGCGCCTCGACACTCGGCGACCACATGCCTCATTATATTTATGGACATAATAAAATAAATACTGCAACAATTAAAAATGCAAGCGCTTTCGCAGTGAAGGCAGCAGAAGAAAAAAGAAATGGAAAAGCAAGAAAAGCTGACATGACATAAATATTTGCAGCGCACTTGTAAAACTTTTCACAACTGACGAACCGAATCGAATCGAGCCGCATTTTCTACAGCTCCTCGACAACTTCTAGCCGACTGTTAAGACTTGTCCCTTTTGGCCATTTCTGTTGCGGTTTTTTCTTCTTCTAATAATACTTGAAAATCAATCAAACTCATTACACAACGTAATCAGCTTTTGGCTTGGCATTTGGCATATTTCGGGGTGTGGCCTTCAGCGACAACACTATTACAATTGCTAACCAGCATGCGAAAATGTTGTCCGTACACTGAGCGAAAAATGCGGTTGCTTGTCTATTATACTTACAGCTAACAGCACAGCATGTTTTTTTTTGCATTTTAATTTTTTTATGAATATTTATAATTTTATTATAAATATTGCACTGAACCCAAGTTTGGTAATACATCGATTTTGAATTTTTTCAAGTACTTAAACTAATTTTTAAATATCTTTTGAGTTCTGTTTGTTCCCAAAAGGTAGTTTGACGTAGAAATTTTATAAAGTTTTACATCAATCCTTTATAATTTATAGCTCATAAATTTAATATCTATAAAAAAAAAAATAAATAAAATTCTTGGCAAAGAAGCATCTAAAACTTTACTCAAGTTGATTTATATATTTATTTCAAAATTTTTTGTTAGACTCTGCCATATTTTCTTAATCTAAATTTACATTTAGGAAGCAATTTAAATGTTTTTTTTTTTTAAATTAATTTTATTTATATATTTTACTAGAATTCATGAATTCAAATATAACTCAAATTAATTTTAAATATCAAGAAGAAACTTTTTTTTTGATAAAAAAAAAACATTTTTTTACTATAAGTATTGCCACCAACACCTTTTGAAATTTTTTACATTAAACAAAATTTTTCTATATTAAATTCAACAAATATTTAAGTCAAACATAAATTTTTTGCCTAGTTTATTTTTTTTAACAAACATATTTTAAACATAAAGAATATTTTGTTATTTGAAGTACTTTAGCTCTTAGAATACTTTATGCTTTAAGTTTAAGTTGAAGATGAAAAAGAATAATTCTATAATATATTTATTTTTCTGAGTGCACTGATTGTGGCTGCGCTCGATTTGCGTTGCAAGCATTCGCAAATCGCGTAAATGTCGCCTGGCTCTTATGCAAATTGAAATGAGTTGCCTGAGTCAACTGAATTGGCTGAGCTGGCGCAATGTCTTTTCCACAGAATAATTGTGAATGCGTGCATTGCATAATGAGCAGCAGAAGACATCGGCCATCAGCCCATCAGCCATCAACAGGCCAAGCCAGCGGGCCAAGAGTCTGATAGAGTTCAGTGCCTAGGCATTGGGCTGGGCACTTCAACTATGAGTGTGCCAGCTTGTGGGTGTGTGTGCGTATGTAGGTGTGTGAGTATGTGGTTACAATGCTCTCTGGTTAGGCGTCTAGTGCCGTGTGAGCTGTCTAAATAGCTTTGGGAATGCTTAAGGCCGGCTTCAAGATAAAATTGAATTGTGCCTCAATTTACTTAATTTTCCTAATGAACCTGACAGCTTAGTCAAGTTGCAATTTATGTTAGGCTAGCTCTATTCTATGGCATATCATTACTGACTAACTTATGAACGATTTAACTAAGTTATAAGAATTTATAGATACATAGATACATAGATACATGGATACATAGATACATAGACATAGATACATAGATAGATAGATACATAGATACATAGTTATATAGATACATAGACATAGATACATAGATAGATAGATACATATATACATAGATACTTAGATATATAGATGCATAGCTACATAGATACATAGATACACAGATACATAGATTATTATAGCAACAAGCTTAAAACTTATATATATCAATTCCAGTCATAGTTATAGTCGTAGACTGAGATATTTAATCTCCCATAAGGTAAAGACCTTTCATAAATATGCCAAACAACAGCTAATCAGAGAATCTATTGAAACTTTGCTTTCAAAAACATGCCAAAGCCATTCCGTGTCACATTTCTTATCAGCGCTGGCTTGTAAGCTGAGGCAGCTAAGGCTAGCGAATTCCAGTTAGAAAAAGCTCAAATTTCCGAGTTGGCATTCTAATTGGAAGAATGTAACTGAACAGTGTTCAACCTTTAGCAATAACCCGGAACAGTTGTCATATTTGCCATTTGCTACAGTTCTGCAAAAATTTGCATTAGACATTTGCATAAACAGACGGCAAGAGAAGAGACAGACTACAATATGCTGTGATCTGTTCTACATATATCTCAGGCTATGGTATATAAGTTAACTTAGATCTGCTTTGGAGCCGTGTCAGAAGTGTTTCACCTTGCAATTTATTGTGGCATGAAATGTCGACAATTAAATGCAATGCAAACGAACATAAACACAAAACTGCGCCGTCACGAACTGCGATCTATTCGCAACTAAAAAAAATCAAGCAACAAAAATGAAAAATAAAAAAAATAATTAACGAGCGATGTAAAAATAAGCAGAAATAAGTCTTGTCGCTGTGACAGCTTAGCCCACGCACACAAGCATCTGTGAGAACGTTGTGTATCTGTATCTATAGCTGTATCTGTATCCGAGCGTGTATCTTTGTATGTGGATTTTGTGCACTTATGCTCTAGCCCCTTGTTGGCTTCCACTCTAGCCATAATGCGATTAGAATAGATTACACAGACAATTGTCGCGACTCTGTCAGTCAGTCAGTCAGTCAGTCAGCGAGTTAGTCAATCTGAACACCTGAGCACCGTGTGCTGCCATGCATTTGCATAGTTTGTTTTATTTAGTTCAAGTTATACAAAATATAAATTAATTTAAATAACACTTGGCCATAATTCAACATCAACATCAACTTGGTCATGGCAGCTAAGTAGCTCTCAAGGCTGCTGCTGCTGCTGCTGCCGTTGCTGCTGCAATTGCAACTGGCTACCCTTCACTTTGCTTTAGCTGGGTGGCACTTGGGGGGGGCAACCTTTTGTTTCACACACACACACAGAGTCGCCCCAAGGCTGGCAAAATGGTTTCTTTGTGCTCGGCCTGGGCGCGCCCTGTGTAAAGCCGCGCTTAATTTATTTATATAGATCGTGCGCTTGCCTTAGGCGTTGTCCATTTCATTTGTTATTAACTTAAGCAACAACAAATAATATAAAAATAAACCAATAAAAGTTTGCTCGACTAGCTGATATCCTAAATAACTTAAATAATATTTTAATTATTAAATATTTTGTACGAATTATTGATCTTCCAATTCTATGATAATAAAGCTGAAGGCTTAGATATGCTAAAACGCGAATATTTGTTTACTAAACAAGAGTCTGTATGCAAAAGACAGTAGCTG